AGTAATTGTCAAATGTATTGCGAAAATGAAATTAAAAAGTGCTTTAATTTGGTGCTCTTCTAAAACTATCTCTGTAGTATTTATGTAAGTATAACCCACACGTCGGGCAGGCCTACGGCTATCACATCGGGCAGGACTATCGCCGGCACGGTGGGCAGGCCTATGGCAGGCACATCGCGCGTCGGACTGTGGTCTGGCTATTTCTCCAGCCAAAGCGCGCACATTACTCTGCGGCAATCGGCACTCGGTCCGGCAATATCGCACCGTCGTGCCGGCGAATAAGCACCGTAATGTGCGCGCTATGGCTGGAGAAATAGCCAGACCGCGATCCGACGCGCGATGTGCCTGCCATAGGCCTGCCCACCGCGCTGGCGATAGTCCTGCCCGATGTGATAGCCGTAGGCCTGTCAGACGTGTGGGTTATACTGACATAAATACTACAGAGATAGTTTTAGGAGAGCACCGAATTAAAGCACTTTTTAATTTCATTTTCGCAATACATTTGACAATTAATATTTTTTTTAAGCATTTACAATAAAGAAATTAAGTGTATTAGATTTTAAGTGCTTTTCTGTGGTACTAACTTCTGAGGGTTTTAAAATCAATTATTTTTTTATTTTCATTCAATTGATAGAATTAAGTACAACAAAAAGTATGTGGATTAAGCACGTAGGTGTAAGTCAAATTTTATACAGAGGAACTAAAAAGCTATTTGCAATAAAGTCAGTTGAAGTTTACCAACCAACTCAAACAGTTGTTTAAGTTAAACCATCAAAGGTCGTCTTTAATATCCACTGCCCACGTCACAAACGTTCCTGTCCAATAAGGACAACAGGAACTGTGTTATACACTTTATTTGAAAAAATTTTATTCCTCAGAGTCCCAATCTGCCATATCTCCCTCCGACAACTCAAGAGCCCAGCTATCTTTAGTTGAAGCAAGCTCTTCTTCGATGTCTTTTCTGGACAAAGTCTGCTCATTATCAGGTCCCACAAGTTTTTATTTTTCTAATTTTTTCGGTACCTTTGCTTGGTGCTTTTAAGGACATCCAGCATTGCAGCTTTAAATTCCTCTATACTCTTCGGACCACCAAATAGAGGGCAATCCACTGCAGCTTCTGTAAAAGTACAAAATTATAATTATACGTAATTTAGCAATATAAAAATAGATTAATATACATTTTATTGAGAGCGGAGTCGTAGCACTGCAAATTTATTAGTTTCTTAAAAATATCATTTCATACTCACGGTATAATATTTTAGACAGCCTCGTATTTCCTAGCTGCTCGGTCTCCTTTTGCTTGTGCCAAGTAAACTATGAAACAAGCTCGTCTGACATTGCAGCCTTTAAACCACAACTTAAAAATTCTTTTAATTTACTTCCTCCTAGGCGTAGCAAATGATTCTGCTGCAAAAAAGAATTATATGTTCATATACATAAGTATGTATGTATATAAGTTAAAACCATTCATATATTATAACAGGTATTTTTTTTATAATTTATAAGTGTAAATGATTCTTACAAGTTTTTTACGGGCGTCCTCGTTTTC